TCTCCCTCCTAGTGCCTCCCTTAGCTGCTCATAAGCTGTACATACACCCCGCACATCGCCCTGCAGCAGCTGCTGCTGCAGCAGCAGCAGCAGCTGCTGCTGCTGCACGAGCAGCAATATCAAGACACTAAAAGCAGCAACAGCACCACATAGCAGTACCAGCAGCAGCAGCAGCAGCAACTGCTGCTGCTGCTGCACCGCGTTCGCGCCTATGGCTCTGCTGCTGAATTTGTTGCCTTCAATGCTGCAGCTGCTGCTGTTCCTGCTGCAGTTGCTGCTGCTGCTGCTGCTGCTAGCAGCAGCAGCAGCAGAGTCTGCAGCGAACGGCTCCCAACAACTGCTCTTAGCAGCAGCTGCAGCAGCAGCTGCAGCAGCAACCAGACCAGCCGCGCAAGTGCCGCATCAGCAACTCCAGCAGCAGCTGCAGCAGCAACTGCAGCAGCAACTGCAGCAGCAGCAGCAACTGGAAAAGCTGCAGCAGCAACTGCAGCAGCAACTGCAGCAGCGAGTTGTGCATAGGCAAAATGTAATACGAGAAAACTGCCCCCCATATCTTCTGTCTTCGGGATAGAGAAATAAGAAGAGAAACAAGTAGCTAGCTAGCTAGCTAGCCAGCCAGCTAGCTAGCCAGTTAGCTAGCTAGCCAGCTAGCTAGCTAGCTAGCTAGCTAGCTAGCTAGCTAGCTAGCTGGCTAGCAGTACACGAGGAAGCATGAGAATACAGTAAAGGATGGGGGGCGGAGAGTGTATGGAGGCAAAAGAAAAGCAGCAGCAGCAGCAGCAGCAGCAAGAGCAGCAGCAGCAGCAGCAAGCAGCACAAGTTTTATTTGTTACTAATATATATATAACACAACACCAGAAGAGAAATAAATAAAGAGAACAGTATATATAAATATATATATTTATATATATAAATATATAAATATATATAAAATAAATAAATATATAAATATATAAATACATACATACATAAACAACCTCCTTTCTCCCCCCATCAAAGCACCAATAAAGAAAGACAGAAAGACAGAGCGACAGCAGCAGCAGCAGCAGCAGCAGCAGCAGCAGCAGCAATAAATAATATAATATATTAATATGAATAATAATAATATAATAAAAATAAAAATAATTTATAAAGAACTAAATATAACAACCATCGCAGTGACGTTGTCTGCACAGTGCCCGCTCTGCTGCTGCTCAGCCAGAGCCTGCTGCACCAAACACTCCGCCGGGTTCTCTCCTGCAGCAGCAGCAGCAGCAGCAGCAGCAGCAGCAGCAGCAGAAGGAGCAGCAGCAGCAGCAGGAGGAGCAGCAGCAGCAGGAGGAGGAGCAGCAGCAGGAGCAGCAGCAGCAGCAGGAGAAATAGAAACAGAAGTGATAGAACAGCAGAAAAAATGTAGGAAGGTGTGCTGCTGCAGCAGCTGCTGCAGCAGCTGCTGCTGCTGTTGCTGCTGTTGCTGCTACTATTACTATTCCTATTACTACTTCTATAGCTGCTGCTGCTGCTGCTGCTGCTACTCCTCCTCCTCACCACCACCACCATCACCCCCACCACCACAGCAACCACCATCAGCAGCATCAGCAGCAGCAGCACTACCACCACAAGCAGCAGCAGCAGCAGCAACAGCAGCAACGCATGCATGCATGCATGCATGCATGCATGCATACCTTGTCTCCTCGCTTCAAGAGCAATCCTAACAGCCTGATGAGCGGATAGAATATCCCACAGCCCGTCTGTCGCCAGCACCATCACCTTATGCTGCGGCGTCAGCCGCAACACTCTTACGTCTGGCTCCCCACTCAAACCATAGGCTTTTAGGTCCTTTCCCTTTTG